TCCTGGTAGTGGGGGTATTCCTCTTCTTCCTCTTCCAAGTTTCCGATCTCCCTCTTCTTGCCGAGGGGGATGGTATTCGGGTTCACCCAAGCATTTACCTTCGTGTGGTGCCCTCGGGGAGGCCCCTGATGAGAAGGTCCCTCCTGCCGAGGGCTCTGAACAAACTGGGACAGGTGTCCCGCTTGTATTAATCTCTCGATGGCCGTCTTCAGCTGATGGCAATCATCGGTTCTGTGCCCCTGATGCCGATGGAAGCGACAGTATGGGAACTGAGGGTTGATAGCATGTACCTCCGGGGGTGCGCGAGAGTCGCGCTCAACGAGGCCCCTCTCCTCGGAAAAATCAAGGATGATGCTGACGGGGTGCGTCAATGGTGTCCGAGGGCGGTCCAGGAGAATGGGCTGGGCCCAAGTCTTAGGGCTGCTCTTATAACCTCCCCCGGGCTTGGCTTGGCCTTGCCGAGGGCGGTCATCAGAGGGTCCCGAAGCCTTGGGGTGACTTGGAGGAGCCCCCGGCCCTCGGTTATGCTTGTTGTCAGCCCTCGGGGGCTGCTGGTCCGGATGCTGGTGATACTTCTCCACCTCCTCGGCCTCAGCATATCGGTCCCCCCGCTGCAAAGCCCTTATGTAGTCGCGGGGGGGGGGGGGGGGGGGGTCAATGATGAGGCTCCTTGAAAAGTTGCCGGTGCGGAGGACGGTTTGTAGGAGGGCCAGGAGGGTCCCGTCATCAGCACCGTCGACCTTGTCGGCCTCCGTCCTCCAGCGCTCCAAGAAGTCCCGAAGGGTCTCATCCCTCTTTTGGCGTATGGTTAGGAGGTGGGAGAAGTGCTTCCTCGTGCGACGCCTCCCGGCAAATTGTGTCAAGAATCGCTGGGCGAGTTCTTGCCACAAATCAATGCAGCCCTCAGGCAGCCTGTTGAACCATTCGTATGTCGGTCCCTCTAAGGTGGAGAGGAACCATCGACACAAATATTCGTCCGACGCCCCCACCATCATCATGCTGTTCTGGTATTTGCTGTAGTGTTCCTGGGGGTCCGTTTTCCCGTTGTAGGCCTGTATGTGTTGCCCTCGGTATTTTTCCGGGATCCGGGCCGCCAATACCCTTGAGGTAAATGGCGTCCAAGTCCGGAGCTAGATGACGGGTTCCCCGGAGCCCTCGGCCACCGTCTTCTGTAACTCCTCCATTTTGGCCATCATGGCCTCGTATTTGAGATCTGAATGAGGGGTGGAGGTGGTGGCGTGAGCTTTGTTGGACTCCATTTCTTCAAGCCGGCGTTGGAGGGCCGCGATAATCTCATCCCGGGGATCCTTCGGGAGGGTCTCCGCCCCCTGCGAACGAACCCGGGCCGAGTGGGCCTGGTTGATTTGATGGCGAGCATCATTGGCATGAAGGGGTGCCTTGCCCTTGTCCCGAGGGGGACGCTCCTCGTCTGCCCTCGAGACAGACCCTCCACTTTCCTGGGGCCTTTGGAGTGCCTTTCCTCCGAGGCGGTCTTGGACCCCTCGGCGGTCTGGCCCTCCTCCGAGCCGGTTGAGGGCGGAAGTGCGGGGCCTTTCCCTGTCGTCATGGTGGCGGTCCTGGGACTGAACTTCCTGGGAGGACGTATCTTGGGCCGCTACCCCTTCGTCATTCCTAACCCGAGGGAGGGGGTTGCCGAAGGGGTGTGGCAGAGGGGGAAGTATGATGTTTTCCCCGACCTGGGGGTGAGCCGGAGCCAGGGTGCCGAAGGCACCCGGGTTCTGAGTGAGCGTTTGGATGAAGGCGGAGAGCGCCGATTGCACGTCGATGGTGAGAACCGGAGGGCTGACTTGGTCATCGCTCCGGTTTTTCTTCTTGGCCTCGATGCCGAGGCGGGCATCGGGGGCATTTTGTTGGATCTGAAGGCGTAGGTCGACAGCCGCCTGTTCCAGCCCAACGATGACACCGCCCTCAGGAGCCCTGTGAGAGGCTTCGGGGGCGCTGACGTCGCCGAGGGCCAGGTTCTTGTCTTCTACGTTCTTTGAGTTGGCGCGGGTTGTTCTCACCATTTTGGTAGAGGGCTAGTGTTTGGCGAAGGGGGAGGGTTTCTTACTCGATTGTTCGACCTCTCAATGAGAGCACCAAATGATGGATAGTCTACCAGGGGGTATATATCCGAAGGGTTATTGCGGGGAATAACTTAGAGAGAAGCCAGAGCAAGTAAATGTAGAGAGAGAGAGTGTATTATAAATGTGGAGCGTTTTCAGCGTGGTTACAAATGGGGAAATGGGGTGCTATTTATAGTAGCAATAAATGCCGGACAGGGACACGTGTCAAGCGCTCATTGGCCGAGGGGTCACCTCAACTGGTTGGCGCTGGCAGCCGCATGTGGCCGCATTTAATGCGGCTGTTGGATGGGACGTCTGTGCAGGGTACGGTGATCTGTACGCATGTGAGGCGGATATCTTGTCGAGTGAGATGCCTTCGGCTATAGAGCAGTAGCCGAGGGCTCCTCCAACCGATGGCACCCTGGTGCCGAGGGCTCATAGTGCCGAGGGCTACTGTTTTCGCCGTTTTCTCCCAGTTTCTTAATTTGCTTGAGAAACCCGTTCTGTGAGAGTTTAGAGCCTTCGGCCAGGGGGCCGAAGGCACCCCTGGCGCGTAGTGCGGGCTGCTTGGTACTCTGGGCGCTGTGATCTGGGCCTGTCGGGCCTTCCGGGCCTGTTGGGCCTTCGCTGGAGTAGTAGGAGTCTGTGGGCCGGGGGTTCCCGGGCCATATACTCCATCATGTATATTTTTGTGAACTTCAGACCTGTCTGTATGAATATTTGTGTGTGACCAGTGTCTGTATGAATATTTTCAGGATGGAACTTCAAATTCCTCTAAGAGATTACTTCCCAGCCCAATACTCAGTACGGTCAGCCTTCAATGAGGCTTTGGAGTTGCTGAGTGAATGCCTTACACTCAAGCAGATGTCATTGCTTCTCAAACCCCCTGGGGCCATTTACTTGCTTGTCCGCACTTTCAATTCTCAGGGTAGCCAATTTATTTGTTGTTGTTGCGCCTTGTGCGTGAGCAGCCTAAGGATGAAATGTGGTTTACTATTGAGGGGAAGCTGATGAAGTTCACTTACAATGACTTCAAGAGGATAGTTGGTGTGAAAGATCTAGAAGAATGGCCCACTTATTATCTGGATGAAGCAAGGCAGGGCATTGCGGAGAAGTATTTTGGTGGCTGTGATGATGTCACCTATCACAAGTTGAAGGCGAAAGTTGTTGCCCTAGGTACGAGCCCTCGAGAAGAGAACGAAGATGTTATGGACCGGGTGAAGTTGGCTTCTTTTTTTTTTGGTCCACTCTTGTTTGCTGGCTAAAGATTTGCCTACAAGAATCCATCCGGATTACTTGCGTTTGGTGGATGAGTTTAAGCTTTTCAAGTCTTGCCCCTGGTCCAAAGAGTCATACAATGTGACTGTGTCTGTGATGAGTCTCAAGAAGACCATGCAAGGCCAGCCACTCAAGTTTCAACAAAGCAAGCTGGCAAATCCTAACTATCGCAATGCAAAGTTTAGCTTGTATGGCTTCCCCTATGCTTTACAGGTATTGATGTTATTGTTTGTATATTTGTTTACTTAAGAGTTACATTGTTGTATACATGAATAAATCGTCTGTATGATATCAGTTTTTGAGATTCACTGTCTGTATAAGTTGTCTGTATTACACCCATGAATGTATGTAGGTTTGGGCGTACGAGGAACTGCCTGTCCTTGCGCAAAAATGTGCTAAACGTGTGGCGGGTAAGAAGGATATTCCAATGTTCAAGTGGTCTGCTGATGGTTTTTTTCATGCCCATGTGGAGGATATGCATTGGGTTTTGGTTGAAATAGACCTTCGAGCTAAATTCCTAAGACTGTATGACTCTTTGCAAAGTGGAAGGACAGTATCAAAAGTAAAAGAATTGTGTGAAAGGCTCCCCCACCTACTTCATGTTATAACTTGACAAAGGGACGATTACGTTGAAGACGACATCAAGCCTTGGCAAGATGTTTGCGTTCATGGTGTCCCCCAACAACGAGGAGGGTAAAACATCCATTAATCCCTTGCACATTTAAGATCGTATAACTATTGTCTGTCACACTATAAGATCATATAACTATTGTCTGTGTAATGCGCAGTGGCGAATGTGGCATGATGATGTTAAGTATGGCCGAGCACCTCATGTTGGACCTCCCGTTGATACCGGGGTGCGAGTACCCCAACATGCACAATAAGAGGTGTGATTACGCAAAACGGCTTTGGAAGATGAGAGACAACAAAGAATGATGTCAACTGATGAAGAATGATGTACACTGATGTATATTTTGGTTATATGTAATTACAAAAACTTTGGTGGATACTCATATTTTGCCCACTTAGGTGTAACATTATTTGGTGGTTAGATGTAGTATTTTGTACAATATTGGCGGTGCCATGTTGTACAATATGGCTACAATGTGATTGCCTTTTTATGTGCTTGCCTTTTTTGTCTTGGCAAAGCTATACGTAATACCACTTGTATTATGATTTACAAGAAAACAATGATATATAAGAATCATTTTTTGCAACGAATGGGGTGATTATGATTCAAATACAGATGAATTAATGGACTAAATATCTGTATACAAACATTTAACATGATATAAAAGTCTGTATACAAACATTTAAATGTCTCTATACAGACGGATTGAAGGTTCGATGTAGTTTTATTGTCTTTGTCATCCACACTATATTTTAGAACTATATTATAGGACTACATATAGTTTTACATAAATACAATGTACTAATGTAGACAAAGACATTGAGTTGTCTGCACCACAGACATTTCAGTACGAAGTTTCATTAACAATTCAAAACAGGGAAAGATTCAAATCTAAACCATCTTGGTAATGTAGTGTGGGCACCTCAACAACAACAATGTCCTGCGTGGGCAGCTTTTTTGGCACCATTGCCTGAAATAAAATTGGTAAAATTATGTTTGTACATATGTGTTCATTGTCTGTACAAGTTTAAACATTGTCTGTTGTTTCACAGAAAGTGCAAGGCAGCATACCTTTGCGTTAGTTTTCCCCTTTTCTAGTGGCCCCTTCAAACGATTTTTCCTGGGAGCACCCTTCCGTTTTGAAGACTTAGGATTATGAATTATTTGTGGTTGGTCCTTAGCAACATTTCTTCCGGATTGTGGTAATGGTGTCATGACACCACATATAGAAGAATGAGAAGGATGGTGGTCATGTTGTTCCAATTGCCGTTGAAGCCACATCATTACACTGTTGCACTTTTCTTCATCATCAGCAATGGAATTCGCAAGGGTCTCAAAAGTCTTACACAACTTATCAAACCTTTGTTGTTCCACGATTGTGATCCAACCATCGTAGTTAATTTTCACTCGTGTGTAAGCTCTTTTGATGTCTCTTCGCCATCTTGACATTATGTAACAATCAGGCAACACTTTAACATCATGCCGAATTAGCACCATAAGAAAATGTCTACATGGAATGCCTCGAAACTCAAATAAGTGGCAACTACACAATCCTTTGGATGTTGAATTATCATACTCAACAATCAAGTTTGAACTCTTATCAAACCCATTGATGACATGATTCTCTCTCACTTCAAATGTGCTGCCATTAATGCTAGGTAGGACATAACAATACAATTGATCAAGTAATTGGGTTCGGAACTCCTTGAACTTTGCTAAGGTGTAAACACATTGCACTTGTTTTTCCATTGCAAACGATGTAACACATCGAATCATTTTACTCAAAGAATTTCCATCGGCTTGAAATTCTTTTTCAACCTTATTTCTTAAAGCGCACCCATATTGATCGACAAACTGTTTTAGACTAGTTTTAGAATGAACATACCCGTCAAAGAAGGCGTTCATGCTTTCACTTCGTTGATTGGTTGACATGTCTGCCCAAAAATATGGTTTCAAGTAACAGGGCACCCAACGACGACGTTCGTTGTACATAACCAGCAGCCATTCATCATGCTCTTGTGAAAACCTAACAACACAGACAATAGTTAGACTGACAGAATAGAAATGTCTGTGCAGGGTTCAATTTTGTATAAATCATAGACGATATACTTCCTTTACAGACAATATAAAATAATGTCTATCTATTTTTGTTTAATGTTTGTACAAGGATAAACATTGTCTGCAGTTCACTAAAATAAAAATATTCATTTTGAGAAAACATTACCTTTGGAGCATAACTTCCCAACCAGCCTCAAACTCTGTGGTGTGCTGTGAATCATAAACTAGTTCATGAATCTTGAACATGATGTGATCTTTATCCACATGGCCACCCATTTTTTCGGGTAACTTCTTCATGATATGCCACAAACACCAACGGTGCCTAGTATTCGGGAATACAAGTTGAATTGCATTTTGCATGGCACGGTCTTGATCAGTTATAATACCGCTTGGAGCACAACCCTCCATACAATCAAGCCAAGCCTTAAAGAGCCAAACAAAAGTTTGTGTATCTTTATTTGAGATTAGGCCACATCCAAATAATATAGATTGGCCATGATGATTCACTCCCACAAATGGTGCAAAGGGCATATCATAGCAATTAGTTAGGTAGGTTGTGTCAAAGGTAATGACATTTCCAAAACTTTGTATGCATACCTACTTATATTATTCGTCCAAAATACATTTCTCAAGCGTGACTCATCATCTAAATCAACACTAAAGAAGAAACCGGGACATTGTGTTTGCATGTTAGAAAAAAATGCTTGTATAGCCATTGCATCACCACTTCCTAGCCTAAGCTCCCGAATTTTGTCAATGTGATTCCTACAATCCTTTTCAATAAAAGGTAGGGCATCATACCCCCCCCCCCCCTTGAACAACAACGGAGTTAAAACTCTTGTGAACGGGTATTCCTGCAACTTCATTAATCTCAAGATTTCTCATGGCGTGTGGTGTCAACTTCCTATTGCAACGAAATAGTCTGGATTTTGTGGGACTCGTGGGGTGATTATGATTTAAATACACTTTTGAAATTTCCCATGACCCAACATAAGTAGTGTGTGCTCTAATTCTAGCCGAACAAGATGTTTGCATTGAAGGTTGAGGTTTCAAACAGTTTAATGCCTTGCTACCTCTTCTTCCCGCCCGTGAACACTCTATCACAATTGACACTACCTCGCCCTTCTTTTTATCCTTTGTTGATGTTCTTTTTCTTACCGGAAATCCTAAACTTCTTCCATATGTTTTGTAAAACTCAAACACCGCGTCTGTGGTATCAAATATCATGCCTACTTCCGAAACAACCACATTAACATCTTCCTCTCCGTTATTATGTTCATCTGCATCTGTTATTTAAGAATATGTATATACAGACAATATTATGCACATACAGACAGTATTATGGAAAGGGAAACATTATGGCCAAAGTAGTTTATAAACTTCATACAATGATCATACCACTTTCAAAAAAGACAATATTAAAAACAAATTCAAAACCCACTCTATGAACTTCTAAATTATGGCAACATATTTGCAATTGTCTGTACGTATTATAAAACGTTGGATACCTACAAGTTGTCTGTACGTATTATAAACGTTGTCTGTACGTATTATAAACGTTGTCTGTACGTATTATAAACGTTGTCTGTATGTATTATAAACGTTGTCTGTACGTATTATAAACGTTGTCTGTACGCATTATAAATGTTGTCTGCACGTATTATAAACTAAGATAACATAACAACCATGAAGAAACGACGCTACATAAACACCAACCTAGCTCAGCGTCAACTGCTTTCCCATTCGTCGTGCGTTCATCGCCTAGCGTGGCAGTGGGAGTGTGTTCAACTCCTTCCGTCGCAGACGTGTTCATGTGTTCATGGCCTTGCATGTCTCCCTCTGTCGTATGTTCACCGCCTTCCGTCACAGCTGGCGTGGAGGTTTCACCAGGACTGTGCCCGAAAATTTTCTCCCATGTCCAACGAATTTCGTCGTCGCAGACATACGTATTACTGGCTTCCATGGTGCTCGTCACCTACCACAACCTCGATCACCACTTGAATGAAAATGAAGAAGTGTTGCAGGTTAGAGAGAGGAAGGGTACAAACAAATAAAAAACGTAACATGCATATTGTGTGTGCAAAGGGGAGAAGAAGGGGAGTGGGGAGGATTAATGTGTGTGCAAAGGGTAGAAGAAGGGGAGTGGGGAGGATTAATTCAAAACTAGGGTGGGTTAGAAAGGGGGGTGGGGCTTTTTATTTGGTGTACACGGACGTGTAAACCGGCGTGTACACTACGCATTTTTGCGGTACGAGACGGTTATTTAGAAAAACATGTCCCGTCCCAAAGTACGGTTCTGTCCCGCGTATATGTAGAACCTGTCCCGTTCCGTACCAATTTTTGGTACGGTCCGGTACGGTTAGGTACGGTTCTTAAATAACTAAATAACCCTCATGAAATATAAAAAATTTTAGATTTTAACATTTATAAATAACTCAAAAAAAGTTGAAGAGAAGAACTTGCAAGATTATATTAAACTGATATTGTGTGATCAAATTGAAATATGAAACCAATAGTCAAACTATATTAAATAAAATAGTAAAACTTAAAACCCCCTGCAAGAAAATATGAACAGAAAAAACATCTGATCAGAAGAAATCTTGAGATCATGCAACTAAGAAAATGTTTTGAACCGCTTATTAATCAACAACGACCAGAAGAAGCGATGGCTGCGAGAAATCCATTATGCAAAAACAATTATACGGTCTACCAGGTGAAGTCAGAATTCTCGCTCCCAAAGTGAGTCCATGAGTTGCAGTATGTCCGTACCTTACTATGACACCATTATCAAACACAAAAAGATATTCAAATTAAGCCAAAATAATTATGACTAATGAAAACGAAGTAGTCGATTTTACAATTTAAGATATATGGATATCACTTAACATAGAAACAATTAAAACAAAAAAAAATCACTAGTGTCTAAAATTTAGTGTGGAGAGTTTATGATACTCATGAACTTATAGAAGCATTAGATAATAGATATTTACTAAACACACCATTAGACCGAGACACCATATATAGCTTTTGATAATTAAAATATGTTCATCAAATCAATTGAAAATGAATGGATAAAGATTACCTCCAGATATTATGATACGGAGTATTAGCCTTGTAGGTGAGCCGAATTGAGGAGGAACACCAAAGGCGATTAGTTCTGCCGTTCTTCACTTCTGGACTTTTTGGTCTACTAGAGGATATGTTGCCGAGTGCATGTTGCCGAATGCCGATTAGGTTTAAGAGTTTTTGTTCTATTTCAGTGGCATTAGTATTGCTTTTGTTTTAATAATTGGATTGGGCCCAAAGAAGATGTAAGAGTAATATACGGACAATTATACTCGGTATATAATATATTATACATATTATTATATTATATATAATATATTATTATATTATAACACTAGTTTTCGGGACAATTCGGGATGGTACGAGACCGTCCGGTTCGGTACGGTTCCAGGATGGTTCCGGTACGGTTTTCACTAAGAACCGGTACCGTACCATATTATTAAAAAAGCTCGGTACGGTACGGTACGATATTACATTTTTACGGTTCTATCGGTTCTAGAACGGTTCGGGACGATTCTTCGGTACGGAACGGGAATTCCCAGATCCGTGCTCAGCCCTACTCTCCAGTAATACATCAGTCACAAAACTTGTACTTGGAGATATGCTACATTGGTACTTTGCTACTTGTACATCCTAACACTAAAATTGGTTAAATTGACTTATTTTACTAAAATTTATGAAATTTTGGTTGAAGTAGATGTATTGATTGATTTTACTGATTTATGAAAAAATTATATTTAAAATATTTGTTATTAATAGATACAAAAAATCATGTAAAAATAGCTAAAGTAACTTCAACCAATACTATCAGGAAAGTAACTATAACCTTACTTTTTCTTATTATTACTATCTCCGTCCCTTAAAACTTTGCCAAAGTTGACCGCCACGGAGAATAATAAAGTTAAAACTGTGTGGTTGAGGTTTGTGCAGAGGAGAGAGAAATAACAGAAATCACAAAATAATTGATTAAAAGGGAAAGTGACAAAGTTTTTTGGGACATCCCAAAAAGGAAAGATGACAAAGTTTTAAGGGACGGAGGGAGTACATAATTCAGCGCGCGAAATCAAAAGTTACGTGTTTGATGAAAAATTTGACTGATAAGTCGGGAGAAAGGTCACCAAACGGGCTCATAATTTGTACACATTTGTTGTACACACTGTCTACTTGCATGTGTATATACGAACTTCTGAACGATCTGCATGATTTGTACACATTTGTACACATTTGTTGGATGCAATTTCGGCACATGTCGAGCCGAGTACTTATCGGGAGGCAGTTCAAGATCCCAAATGGCGGGAGCCCATGAAACGCGAAATTGATGCTCTTGAGCAAAATGGTATGCGGACTATTCAAAATTTACCTGTTGGAAAGAAAGTTATCCATTGCAAATGGGTATATAAGATTAAATATAAAAGTGATGGTTCCACCAAGAGGTACAAGGCTCGTCTTGTTGTGTGCGGAAATCGTCAAACTGAGGGGACTGATTATCATGACACGTCCGCACCAGTGACTAAAATAATCACGGTTCGGAAAGTTCTAGCTGTTGCCGCTTCTCGAAAATGGGAATTACATCAGATGGATGTAGATAATACTTTTTTGCATGAGGATGTGCATGAAGAAGTTTATATGTATCCCCCACCTGGTTTTTCGTATTCATCTGGTCAGGTCTATCGGCTACAACACTCCCTCTATGGTCTTCGTCAAGCGCCTCGGTGTTGGTTTTCCATACTTACTTCCACTCTAAAGAAATATGGTTTTCGATAACCATATGCTGATTATTCTCTTTTTACCTTGAAACGTGATGCTTCCCTCATATGTGTTCTCATTTATGTGGATGACATGCTTATTACCGCGAATGGTTCTGTTATGATTTGAGTCTTCAAGATCTTCCCAGGGCATTCATTTCCCGTCAAAGATCTTGGTGGGATGAAGCGCTTTCTGGGGCTTGAAGTTTGATTTGTCAACGTGAAATCACTGTTTCATTTCCTATGGCCCAAAATCACCGTCAACAACTTGATGATGGACCTTTGTGTTCGGATCCTGATCGTTGCCGAAGTTTGATCGGGAAGCTCATTTACCTCACCCTCACACGTCCTGATATTAGCTACTCGGTACATATTATCCCAATTTATGCAGAATCCTCGTCATGCTCATTGGGAAGCAACTATCCGTGTCTTGCGATATTTGAAAGCACATCCTGGCCAAGGCATTCTTTTGCGTGGTGATTCACCTTTTACTTTAACCGGTTATTGCGACTCAGATTGGGCTAGCTGTCCTCTCACTCGTCAATCTGTTTTTGGTTATTGTATCACACTTGGTCATTCACCTATTTCTTGGCGTACAATAAAACAACACACTGTCTCTCGTTCATTGGCAGAAATAGGATACAGATCTATGACTAGCGAGCTCATTTGGCTTCGAAGTCTACTTCGCTCCCTTGATGTACACACCGGCTTGACTAAGATTTTTTGTGACAATCCAGCTGCAGTTCATATAGCTTCTAATCCTATTTTTTCATGAACAGACAAAACATATTGAAATTGATTGTCACATTCTGCACAGTCATGTTCAAGTCGGGACAATTCAATTGTTGTAGAAAACCTCCTTTGAACAACTCGTTGATTTATTCACTAAAGCACTTGGAGCTGATACATTTCTTTACTTACTGTCCAAGATGTGTGTTCGTGACCTTCACGCTCCATCTTGAGGGGGCGGGTGTTAGAACTATCTAGAATTGTCATTAGTGGTTACCATGTTTGTACATGTTACTATGTTAGGGTTAGAACTATCTAGAATTGTCATTACTTTCGATTAGTGTGGTATATCTTAGGAAAGTATATTTCATAATTAAGAAGAGATGTACACATATACTTGTTTATATACGAAGCAAGGCAGAAACCAACACACAAGAGAATAAATTGATTTTTTCTCAATTCCTTTGTTGACCGACTCCAAAATATTTTGTGATTAAGACTTAGATGTTGTTGTTGTGAAACTCATTACAAATAATAAGGTTAGCTTTGTTAACTAATTTGCAGTAGATTTTTTTTTGAATGAATAGATAAATTATTTAAAAAAATACCTTAACGGCTTCTTAACCATTGTACTAGTCAATGACCGTCTTAATATATAGAACTTAACGGCTTCTTAAAAATCAGAACATTAATCGCTTAAAATGTCACGTAAAATTGTGTAATGTTTAAATTCGATATATAGAATTTCACACACAAACTCTAGTAGCTAATTGTTTAAACCTAAAACATAGAAAATAAAAAATCAAATAAAAAAACTTAATAAAGATGTAGAAATAGCAACAAAACTATTTAAATCAATTAAAAATAAAGAACTACAACTCAAAACAAATTATACCTATAGCCAATTCTTTATTCAATTGTAATAAAAATAAACATATGTTCAAGAAATGTGTGAAATCTCACTCCGGGATTTTTTAAAACAAATGGTAGGCACTCATATTTAGGAGACAATTAAAAGTAAAAGAGTAGATCATTAATCATTATTCATGAAATAAAGAGATGAAGATGTTTTTAATCAAACTATTATTCCATATTTTCATAACTCAAATGGATCAATTCAGATTGTATGTAGTAATTGATGTTAGTTGAAAGAAAGAAAAATAAAAATAAAAAGTGGAAAGAAGTGCAGAACACCATTAGAGTCAAAAGGGAGATCTTAATGTATAACAATTAGGTTAAAACTCTGAAAGTTGTAAATAATTACTGCGTAAAATTTTGCTACAAGAACCATACAGATCATACAATTGGTTGTAGCGTTGTTTATTACTCACTTAGTCACTAAAATAATGAATTAAAAATAGTGAATATGTTGTGAAATGTGAATCGTAATTTTTTTGTCAAATAAGGAAAAAGCATTATTTTAAAACGAACAAAAAAGTAAGTTTTGGGTCTGCAATTTTTCCCAGGCGTACAGTTCTAAACTCAACCGAAGAGGTCGGGGCAGGGACGAACCGTAGTAGAGACCCAGGGGGCTACCGCCCTCAATAATTTTTTTAGTGTATATATATACGAAAAATAATTTTTACTATTCCAAAAAGTATTTTGGACCCCCCCAAATCTTTTCGCTCCCAACAATGATTTTCCTGGATCCGCCCCTGAGTGGGGGTGATTTCACAAAACTTCACCTCATAGCTGACCGTCTTGACCGAATACGACATCATTCCCGCGGAATAGAAATTGT